ATGCTGATTTGGTTATACCCGGAATATGCATATAGGAAGGAAAATAATTCATGTCCTGCAGTGGCGTCAATGAGGAGGTCAATTCGTGGAAGTGGGTAGCTATTTTTTGGGCATGCCTTGTTGAGCTCAATAAAGTCAACGCAGAGGCGCCACTTCCCATTAGCTTTAGTTACCATCACCACATTTGAGAGCCACTCAGGATATGCTACTGCTTTGACTGCTCCGTTCTCTATTAACTTTCACACCTCCTTGTCCATCGCTCGGGTCATTTCAGTAGAGGCACCCCTTAGCTTTTGGCAAACAGGCTTGTGGTGAGGGTCAACATTGAGGCGGTGTGTGGCTACCTCAGGGTCAATATCCTCGAGGTCTGCATGTGACCATGCAAAAATTTCCATGTTGAGCCTGAGAAAGTCCATTAGCTGGTGGACCAGATCCTCAGTAAGGGAAGAGCTGATGTAAACTTTTCGGTTCGGATATTCCTTTTCTAGGACCACTGGTCTGAGCTCCTCCACTAGTTCTCCTCTTTCCAACTTGGTATCATCCCGCGGGTCAAGGACCTCCACTTGCAATGCTTTCTGCGGATTTCTGGTTTTCATTGAGGAGACGTAACACTCTCTTGCTGCTACCTGATCTCCTCGGACCTCTCTGACTCCATTTGGAGTTGGGAAGCGGAGAATGAGATGATACGTGGAGGGCACAGCTCTTAAGGTGTTGAGAGATGGTCGCCCTAGGATAATGTTGTATGCTGAAGGGCAATCTATCACCAGAAAGTTAACCATGACCGTGGAGCTTTGAGGTGCCGTGCCGACCGTGACAGGCAGGGTGATGGACCCTAAGGGATACACCTGAGAACCCAATGAGGGGAGACCTGATAGGCTGCAATATCTCTCTACCCAAGTTGAGCTTATTATAAGTCTCTGCGAACAAGATATCTGTATAGTTACCGCTGTCCACAAGAATCCTTCGCACCTAGAAGTTGGCGACGGTCATGGTGAGCACCAAAGGGTCGTCATGGGGGTGCTGAATTCCTTCCAAATCCTTGTTCGAGAAGAAAATGACCTCGTTGTTGCCATGCTTGGGTGCCTTAGATGGGCGCAATTCATCGGGGTGTCTGGCCTTCCTGGCATGAGCCTTCATGGAAGAGATTGATTCTCCCCCTCCTGTAAGCCCTCCAGAGATGGTGTGAATTTCCCTGATAGACTGTTGATCTTCCTGATTACGGGGTGGTGTTGGCGTCTGTCCCCTACTGGCAACATACTGGCGAAGATGACCCCGTTGGATGAGCTCCTCAATCTGCCTTTTGAGGTCATAGTAATTATCGGTGTCATGACCATGGTCCCAATGGAAGCGACAATACTTGTTTGGGTTCCTTCGGTTCGGGGGAGACTTCATTCTCTCAGGTTACTTTATTGCGAGGTCATCCTGGATCTGTAATATGATGTGCCCAACGACAGCGTTGAGGGGAGTGAAGGCTTGTTGATTTCTCTAGGGAACATGACCGAGTCAGTCTTTGGCAGGTACTCTCTCTATCCTACTATGCTTGTTATTATTCTCCTTCTTATCATCTCTGTCTTTTTTTTTTCTCTCCAACTCTAGAGGACTCCCCTCGTCTGGCCCTTGTAATGTCTTTAGCATTCATGTATTTCTAGGCCTTCGCCAACAACTCTGGCATGCTCTTCGGTGGGCGCTTCATTACAGAGAAAAGAAAACTTGACGACCAGAGGCCCTTTAGAAAAGCGGTCATGCTCACCTTATCATCGGGCTCCTCTACCCGAAGGACCTCCTCGTTAAAACGAGTGAGGTAGCTCCTCAGGCTCTCTTCTCGATCCTGCTTTATGCTGAGCAGGTGGGTGGCTGGCTTCTGGTGGTGGCTTCCTCCAATGAAGTGTGATACAAAAGACTTGCTGAACTCAGCAAATGTGCCAATAGAGGCTGAGGAAAGTTTGGCGAACCATTGTCAAGCGGATCCCTTCAAGGTGGTTAGGAATGCTCTGTACATGATCTCGTTAGGAACGTTATGTAGCTGCATCAAGGTTTTAATAGTTTCAAGGTGGTCCAGTGGATCATTCGTACCGTCAAAGGTCTCGACGGAAGGCATCTTGAATTTTTGAGGGAGCGGGTAGTTTGCCACATTAGGTTTGAAAGGTGTGTCGGTTTAACTTACGAGGTAGTCTACTGTCTCGGGGCCCGACACCTTCATGGCGTTGAAGACGTCACTCGCTGATTTTGCACCTCTTTAATTTTTTCATTCCAGTGATTGGGAGGAGGTACTCTGGAATTTTCACGAAAATGGCTCCCATGCTCCATGCTTTGATTTTCATCCTCGTCCTCTTGGAGAGGAGGGTCTCCATTATAGGGAGCCGGAACAGGAGCTGGAGGAGGACCCTCATGGTGAGCCCTCCTGTGTGGGGCACCCAAGGGAACTCCCAAAGAGGGGGCGCCCAGGGGGCGGTTGGATGGGGAGCGCCAAGATGAGGAACTCTTTGATGACTAGGGAGTGGAGTTTCTCTGGCTTGAGGTCCAGGCTATACTCCTCCTTGTTGCCAGAGCATCAATTGCAGAATTTGCTAGTTTTGGGCTATGAGTTGTTGCATGGTCTCCAACATTTACTGCGCATTTGGGACTGGATTGGGTAGAGGAACAACCTCCTCGTCTCGTGGTGGAATGTCTTCAGGCTGATTCATGGATCTGGTGGTGATCGACTTTGATTCAGCAAAGAAAATGTTTAGGTGAGAATTTTGTCGTTCCCACAGACGGCGCCAAACTGATGATGCACAAAATCGATTTGCACATCACCCGTCAATTAAGCAATATAAAATGTAGTAAATAGATGGAGAAAGAAAACAAGGTTTATAGTACTTCGGTCAATGAGACCTACGTGCATTTTCAATGGCAAGGTTCGCCGGAAATTTTATTGACTCCGGTGTGGTGGGAGAGCAAGAATTACAAGAGAGAGAGATGGGCTTGATTTTGTTGAGATGCCCCCCAAGTGTTGGGAGAATTTACAATTTATAGAAGCCTGTGTAGTAATTGAGTAGTTTGACGGTTACAACGGACTGGAGGCAATTTAATAGCTGATGACCTTTCTTCTTCTTGGCGACCTCTCCTCTCCTTGACGACCTCTTCTCTTCCTCAACGGGCAAGGGTATAGCTCCTGGATGCTCCCGTAATTCCCTGATGGGCTTGACCATCTTGGACCTCATAGGGCTTGCTTGGTGTTCTATAAACTTGGGCTTTTTTCCTTGGATTGGGCCATTTGGGCTTGACCCATCACAACCAACTCGATTTTTTTTTTTTTGAATTATCTGATTAAATAACTAAGATTGGTTGATGTAGGCTCAGTTATACTAGAATAGGTTTTTACTCATAAAAAAAAATTAGTTTTATTATCAAACAACTCCTATTTAAACATATCTTTTTATTGAATATACCACCCCCTTCGGCCCTTCCTTTCTTCACTTATAAATATTTGATAACTTTATAATCCTAAAATCTAATTTGTGGATTATAGTAGAGAATGGAGAGAGAATAACTATTTTAATTGCAAGGTTTAATACTTGGGGCTTTCTAGTGATAATTTCAGTTTGATTTCGACCTAGACACTCATAAATTGTGTCAAGTCGATTAAGACCTTAAGGAGTAGATGTTACAAACTCAATCCCATTGACATCACTTAACATTCGAAACAAACGGAGAACATAGGCAGGTAAAAACTATTTGAACAAAAATTCCATTCAAACAAAATAATTAACCACTAACTTTATTCAATTTGACTCAAACAAATTCTCAAAAAAAATAATAATAAAATTAGAAAATCATCATCCAAAGCCTTAAAGATTAAACCACACTACATATCTTCCTTATCTTTCCTGCAGTTCCTGTGAGCACTCCAATTGCACCCATTCTCTGAATAGATTGGCTAAACTCAGTGAAGAATTGCCCAGATCTTAACATTTCATTAACAACATTTGTGGCACCTTTGNTAGTAAATAGATGGAGAAAGAAAACAAGGTTTATAGTACTTCGGTCAATGAGACCTACGTGCATTTTCAATGGCAAGGTTCGCCGGAAATTTTATTGACTCCGGTGTGGTGGGAGAGCAAGAATTACAAGAGAGAGAGATGGGCTTGATTTTGTTGAGATGCCCCCCAAGTGTTGGGAGAATTTACAATTTATAGAAGCCTGTGTAGTAATTGAGTAGTTTGACGGTTACAACGGACTGGAGGCAATTTAATAGCTGATGACCTTTCTTCTTCTTGGCGACCTCTCCTCTCCTTGACGACCTCTTCTCTTCCTCAACGGGCAAGGGTATAGCTCCTGGATGCTCCCGTAATTCCCTGATGGGCTTGACCATCTTGGACCTCATAGGGCTTGCTTGGTGTTCTATAAACTTGGGCTTTTTTCCTTGGATTGGGCCATTTGGGCTTGACCCATCACAACCAACTCGATTTTTTTTTTTTTGAATTATCTGATTAAATAACTAAGATTGGTTGATGTAGGCTCAGTTATACTAGAATAGGTTTTTACTCATAAAAAAAAATTAGTTTTATTATCAAACAACTCCTATTTAAACATATCTTTTTATTGAATATACCACCCCCTTCGGCCCTTCCTTTCTTCACTTATAAATATTTGATAACTTTATAATCCTAAAATCTAATTTGTGGATTATAGTAGAGAATGGAGAGAGAATAACTATTTTAATTGCAAGGTTTAATACTTGGGGCTTTCTAGTGATAATTTCAGTTTGATTTCGACCTAGACACTCATAAATTGTGTCAAGTCGATTAAGACCTTAAGGAGTAGATGTTACAAACTCAATCCCATTGACATCACTTAACATTCGAAACAAACGGAGAACATAGGCAGGTAAAAACTATTTGAACAAAAATTCCATTCAAACAAAATAATTAACCACTAACTTTATTCAATTTGACTCAAACAAATTCTCAAAAAAAAAAATAATAAAATTAGAAAATCATCATCCAAAGCCTTAAAGATTAAACCACACTACATATCTTCCTTATCTTTCCTGCAGTTCCTGTGAGCACTCCAATTGCACCCATTCTCTGAATAGATTGGCTAAACTCAGTGAAGAATTGCCCAGATCTTAACATTTCATTAACAACATTTGTGGCACCTTTGTTAGTCAACAGTGCAGCATCAGATTGGAAAAGGCCTTGGTGAATCTTCAAGTTAGAGAAGTAATGGTTGTCGAATATTAGAGCGCTCCCGGGGTCCATATCTACCGTGGTCGTCTTGTCCGAGAGGCTCTGGCATTTCGTTCTCAAGGTAGCCGCATAGGTAGAGTTCAGGGAAGGATCGACGTCGCCTTTTCCAGTGAAATTGTATAGCCTGTTGCTGAATAAGTTGCAATGTCCAACACCAATAGTGTGTGCACCTGCATAAAGCATATTTTGCCATAGGGTAAGTTTAAGAATATACTAAACTTTCTGTTTGCATGCTACTGGGTCACATTAGCTAACGGCTGCTACATTGGTAGGGATCGACAAAGAGTCTGTGGCTCATGGCTAACCAGTTAGCTTGGCGGACATGGCTCGTTGGCGGCGGTCATCCATTGGCCACGTAGTTTTTGGAGAATCTCCATTACTCCTGACCTTTCATGTCACAAGTTCATATTTTTTTCTTCTAATTAATTTCACTCAACAAAAATAATATTTAGACCTGCTATTTGAAGACACATGCTATTTTTCGGTACCATATTCTAATCATACTTGAAGAAAGTAATAAATTGAAACAAATTTCACACGGACAAACCGAAATCTTATGAAAATTGCATGGGATGAAGTATCATTAAACTTAATGTAACTTTTTTAAACTATTAGCAACTTCAGATATATAGCAGATAGTAAATCTTCTATTTTTTGTAATACCTGATAAAACCACGAGATCTTGAACAGTGAGTTTTTTGTTGGCGAAATCTTGTTTGAGAGTGGTGAAGTTGGAAAATGGAGATGGTAGGTTGGCCAGAGCTTCTGAAGCGAGTGAAATACTTCCATCTCTTCTACCAGTTAGCACTTGCCACATAGATTTATTGAACTGCAGATATAACACTTGGAATGTTACATCAAAATTTACCTTTTCAAAAGGATAAATCTATCTAATATTACAGCGAAAAAGTTTGAATTTTTAAAAGCACAACAACGGTCATAATTAATTAAAATTTCATCTACTTTGATCAAATTGTACAAAATTTATCTTAATTTATCTACACGGTCCCAATGCCAGACAACATCTAGTACACTCCCTAATGTCTGACAACCCCAATAATTCACATATATCTCTCTTTTATCTGTCCTTTACCTCTTTCTTATTTTTTCTTTATTCACTTTGACTTTATATTTCGTAATTTAAAAAAATAAAATAAACGACTATTTTAAATATAAATGTTGGATGATTAATATTCAATTTTTGGTATTGCAGAGTATTTTTAGATACGGATCATTATTGGTATATACTAGTTTCTTTGTTAGCTAGATTATTTGTATGTCATTATACCAACGAAGTTAATATCAGAGGTGTGTTAGTTCAGAGTTCGAACAAATAATGAGGTGTAATCTACAACTCCTTAGTCCTAAGTACGAGTTTCTTGGTTAAGCATAGGGATTTAACCGATGCCTATCTTTTGTGAGTGATTACGTGCATTTAAAATTTGCGTTGGAGTCACGAGTATAAAAGTTACAAACATTAAAACTAATTTATTTTCCATAATATTTATATAAAGCTTACTTGAAAAGAAACCGAGTCTCTAGCAGCTAAAGCGACAATATCTGCACAGGATACTACTCCAGGACAAGTATTCTCAAGTTGGGTCTTTATTTCATCAATAACGTCGAAGCCTGCCAGTGTTAGGTTTGGAATTGCATCCTTCTCAGCTGTGTTATTTGCTGTGGAGTTAACCAATACAGAGGCATCACATCCCTAGAAAACCAACCACCATAGAAGCATTTAGAAACAAAAAATTGTATGAAGAGATTGCACAAGTGCGGAAACTAGGCATGACTCGTGAACCTAACATGAAACCAATACGTATTAGGTGTTAAACAAATTTTAACACAATACGAACCCGACATGACATGATTCATTGACAGTCTAGAAATCTATAAAAAATGGTTTTTTGCAAGCGTTGTAACCTAGATAATTTGGCTATTTGTTTAAAGGTATGAAAGCATGCATATATATATGATTGGTTCACGCATAGAGTAGAAATGCTTTTACCCTAACAAAACAGTCATGGAAATGCATCCTCAGAAACTTAGCAGGCAATGTTGAATTGCTAGCAACATGTTTCCATGTAATGTTTTGAACAATCTGCTCGGCTTGGGGACAACTACTTTTGTAGAAATTCTTTCTCAGCGCACCCCCATTGCAGACTCCTAACACTCCAAAAACAACTAGTATAGCAATCAAGAAATTGAAACTCTTCATCTCTGTGTGTGTGTGGTAATGTGTGTGTGTGTGTCGCTCTCAGATCTCTTGTGCATTTCCATAGTCACTTCAATGCTTCCTTTATATACTGAGCCAGCAATGTGCTTTCAGCATATTGTAAACCTCATTAGGTGGTACTTACACATGAATACAGCTGCAAGAAATTTTAATATAGTACCAAGCTTCAGAGAGAGAGAGAGATAGAGAGAGAAGACTTTTCTAGCTGAACTGTTTTAATATTTGTATCTTCTTTGTGAACACGTTGTCCCGTTAGGTTTATTCCTTAGTAATTTCCATGGATGCCCATACAATTTATATTGGCCAAGTTTGCAACCTGGTTAATCCTTTGGGTACTTTTCCAAAGGATCTATTCTCATCATTACATCATATACTACCTATCGCACCGTACCATATACAGAATTTATAATATTATTCCATCGTCACCATTAGCCTTAATCCCACTCCACCGCCACTTATATCCCCACCCATAACATTATTATAAAATTACTTATGTAAATGTGAAAATTCAAATGTGAAGTAGTTGGAATTCAATTGGAGGAGGCCAATTAAATAATTCAAACTTAGGAAAAAAATAGGATTTGCGGAGGGAAATCTTCTCAAGCATATGATGATTATTTCAGTAATCGCTGTTGTGGCTTTTTACTTGAATATAGTTCAAACTTCAAACTGTATTTTCCAAAAATAAAATTAAAAAACCAAGTAAAATTCTAGTTGGTATGAGTAGCGTAAACCAATTTTCCTACCATTAGTTAAATGTTGAAACAACTCCTACCATTAATCCCACCAGACTTGGCAGTGATTTGATGGATTTTTTTTCTCTGCTTCAAATAAATAGAAAAATGAGAGTTTTTAAATATGTAGGCTGGTCATAGAATGTTAGTTCAAAGGCCGTTGACATGCTTTTGATCGGACTAGAGATAAGATTCATAACAGTGCGTGTAAATTGGTGTGGACATCCTTAATTGTTCAGTCAAAAAACATGAAAGGAGGAGTTTTCTACGATACCAAATTTTTTTTTTTGTACCATACCAACTTTTATTACATTTGTGAATATTTTTATCATATTTATGTGTTTTTATCATTGTTGTGGTACCAAAAAAAGTGATAGAAATAATTATCACAATAATGGTAAAAATACCCACAAATGTGATAAATCACCCACAAAAGTAATACATTTTTTGGTTATAAAATATGCTACAAAAGTTATAAAAATATTTATTAAAGTAGTAAAATTTGGAGATACGGTATCAAAAAATTTTCTTTGCTACAGTAGTCAAGTCCATGAAGGGGTGGGGAAGACGAGATAATGTTTAATACTCTTCTATTGAGTGTCAATTCGTGTCGTGCTATCTGCGTGTTGTTATTTATATGGAATCCATTAATCTCTTATTACACATCCAAATAAAACCTAATATACAAGAGTTCGTCTCCCATCAATATATGGTAGTTGATGTATTTAAAGGTAATAATTGAGTCGTATCTTTTTTTATCGACACATAATATTTTGGATTTGTGATGGACTCTAATTAACCCTAATTCGACTCACTATCTTATTGTAAGTGTTTACTATCTTGTTACACTCACGTTAATTCGCACAACTAAACAACCAATATCCCACGAAACGAGCCATGTTCAGATCGGGTTTTTCGTGTTTAAAACTAATCTAGCCAGTTATTATTAATGTTAATGTATATTTTTGAATTTATTTATTATGAATTAGTTAACTTGTTGAATATTTCACATTTTGATTTGGAAGCAAGTGAATGAAACAACGAAACATAACCACAAATATCAAAGTCAACTATACTATTTTAGCTGATTCCTTAACCTTGTTTTGTAATTCAAGAGCTTTGCACTAAGATTCTTCAAGCACATGGCTGCTGCTTCATTCCTTCCTTTGTGCAAGTGGTCCTTCGATTTTATCATCATCATGCATGATCTGAGACTAATCTTAATGAATTCATATCATAACCAATCAGGTTGGTCAAACATGCTTAACAAATAAATCGATAGAAATGTTGGTTTTTTTTATGGAGTCTAGTTTGTATATGTGATCCGGACGATGACCCGACCCGAAGTAATATTGTGTGGTTTTTAATGAAAAATTTTCTGAGGCTTAGTCCATGGAGCGAAGGCTTAGACCGATAGGCCCAAGCCGTAGCGCTCATGGACAAGCCTCGTGGGGGTTCGGGGGCAACGCCCCCGAGGACAATTTTTTTGGGCCCGTTATACAGCCCAGTGCGTAGGACATATAAACCCTGTTGTTTTGGTGATTAGGGTTAATCGTGGATTGTACAGCCGCTCTCTGTATTCAACTCTCTCAATAGTGAAATCCCTGCAGCTTCGTGGACGTAGACAAATTGCCGAACCACGTAAAATCTGTGTCTTGTTGTTTCTTGTTTCTTATTGCTTTATATTCTTGATTTGTTCTTCGATTGTGTGTGTTTGTTAGTAGATTTAAATCGTGTGAAATCCCAACAAGAAATTTGATTATGTCAACTATATATTTGTTATGTATAATTGCAACTAGATTACTATGAATTGAACACATATTTATTACGATGCGACGTAAATGCAACGTCAACCTAAGATCACGATACGATTTATTGTCATCCATGAGTTAGTTTGTCCCGCCACTTGAAAGCCCGTTATTACAATATATGTATCTGTAGGTTATCTTTTTTGCTCAACCTAAATGAAATGGCCCACCAAAGTTTTAAAAGTNATTAGAGCGCTCCCGGGGTCCATATCTACCGTGGTCGTCTTGTCCGAGAGGCTCTGGCATTTCGTTCTCAAGGTAGCCGCATAGGTAGAGTTCAGGGAAGGATCGACGTCGCCTTTTCCAGTGAAATTGTATAGCCTGTTGCTGAATAAGTTGCAATGTCCAACACCAATAGTGTGTGCACCTGCATAAAGCATATTTTGCCATAGGGTAAGTTTAAGAATATACTAAACTTTCTGTTTGCATGCTACTGGGTCACATTAGCTAACGGCTGCTACATTGGTAGGGATCGACAAAGAGTCTGTGGCTCATGGCTAACCAGTTAGCTTGGCGGACATGGCTCGTTGGCGGCGGTCATCCATTGGCCACGTAGTTTTTGGAGAATCTCCATTACTCCTGACCTTTCATGTCACAAGTTCATATTTTTTTCTTCTAATTAATTTCACTCAACAAAAATAATATTTAGACCTGCTATTTGAAGACACATGCTATTTTTCGGTACCATATTCTAATCATACTTGAAGAAAGTAATAAATTGAAACAAATTTCACACGGACAAACCGAAATCTTATGAAAATTGCATGGGATGAAGTATCATTAAACTTAATGTAACTTTTTTAAACTATTAGCAACTTCAGATATATAGCAGATAGTAAATCTTCTATTTTTTGTAATACCTGATAAAACCACGAGATCTTGAACAGTGAGTTTTTTGTTGGCGAAATCTTGTTTGAGAGTGGTGAAGTTGGAAAATGGAGATGGTAGGTTGGCCAGAGCTTCTGAAGCGAGTGAAATACTTCCATCTCTTCTACCAGTTAGCACTTGCCACATAGATTTATTGAACTGCAGATATAACACTTGGAATGTTACATCAAAATTTACCTTTTCAAAAGGATAAATCTATCTAATATTACAGCGAAAAAGTTTGAATTTTTAAAAGCACAACAACGGTCATAATTAATTAAAATTTCATCTACTTTGATCAAATTGTACAAAATTTATCTTAATTTATCTACACGGTCCCAATGCCAGACAACATCTAGTACACTCCCTAATGTCTGACAACCCCAATAATTCACATATATCTCTCTTTTATCTGTCCTTTACCTCTTTCTTATTTTTTCTTTATTCACTTTGACTTTATATTTCGTAATTTAAAAAAATAAAATAAACGACTATTTTAAATATAAATGTTGGATGATTAATATTCAATTTTTGGTATTGCAGAGTATTTTTAGATACGGATCATTATTGGTATATACTAGTTTCTTTGTTAGCTAGATTATTTGTATGTCATTATACCAACGAAGTTAATATCAGAGGTGTGTTAGTTCAGAGTTCGAACAAATAATGAGGTGTAATCTACAACTCCTTAGTCCTAAGTACGAGTTTCTTGGTTAAGCATAGGGATTTAACCGATGCCTATCTTTTGTGAGTGATTACGTGCATTTAAAATTTGCGTTGGAGTCACGAGTATAAAAGTTACAAACATTAAAACTAATTTATTTTCCATAATATTTATATAAAGCTTACTTGAAAAGAAACCGAGTCTCTAGCAGCTAAAGCGACAATATCTGCACAGGATACTACTCCAGGACAAGTATTCTCAAGTTGGGTCTTTATTTCATCAATAACGTCGAAGCCTGCCAGTGTTAGGTTTGGAATTGCATCCTTCTCAGCTGTGTTATTTGCTGTGGAGTTAACCAATACAGAGGCATCACATCCCTAGAAAACCAACCACCATAGAAGCATTTAGAAACAAAAAATTGTATGAAGAGATTGCACAAGTGCGGAAACTAGGCATGACTCGTGAACCTAACATGAAACCAATACGTATTAGGTGTTAAACAAATTTTAACACAATACGAACCCGACATGACATGATTCATTGACAGTCTAGAAATCTATAAAAAATGGTTTTTTGCAAGCGTTGTAACCTAGATAATTTGGCTATTTGTTTAAAGGTATGAAAGCATGCATATATATATGATTGGTTCACGCATAGAGTAGAAATGCTTTTACCCTAACAAAACAGTCATGGAAATGCATCCTCAGAAACTTAGCAGGCAATGTTGAATTGCTAGCAACATGTTTCCATGTAATGTTTTGAACAATCTGCTCGGCTTGGGGACAACTACTTTTGTAGAAATTCTTTCTCAGCGCACCCCCATTGCAGACTCCTAACACTCCAAAAACAACTAGTATAGCAATCAAGAAATTGAAACTCTTCATCTCTGTGTGTGTGTG